CCACCGCCACCACCACCGCCACCAGTGGGTCCCGAAAACCCTCCACCACTGCTTCCCCAGAAGCCTCCTGAGGACCGTTCAGAGTAGCTTCGAGTAGGTGGCTTGACAAAACCGTTTAACTCAAACCACAGGGAAGCCTCAACAGTGCCAAGTGCTCCCCTGGTTTGAAGTCGTTTTGTCCAATCAGACCCAAGTTCTGAATCGAGATCATAGCTACCACTTCCAGCCAACGAACCACAAGCTTTGGGACCTAAATAGACATTGGTTGGAACCGAGTTACAGCTGTAACCTGCAGCAAGAAGCATTGGGGTTATCTTGTCCCTCTTGGCTATCTTGTGACATGATGGCGAGGACTCTTTCGATGGTGTTGGGGTGTAAGGTCTGCAGAGCAGGTAGAGAATTGACACTGAGTAAGCCAATGCAATCATTTCTGGGATGTATTGAGTAGCTGGAGATACCACAAAGATTCCCCTCTTCAAATCTATGAACAGGTGGTTACTTGAATCAATATATATCATGTAGAGTCCTTCTTTGTATTTGCGTACTTCACACCAACCTTTAGTTCCATGAAGACTAAAAAACTTGATCTCTACTTGGCCAGCGGATCGGTTACAAAAACTACCTTTCTGCCATTTGCCAATGCAGATACCCCAGTCCTTTCGACCTCGTATGAGCATGGCTCTCTCGCCCCTCATTTGGTTCAGCGTAACGCATCGTTCCTCGCCTTCAATTGATTCCCTTTCTGGAAGAATGGTGGATTTGAGCGAGTAGGCTGATGCTACAGCAACATTGTGTAGACTAACGATCTCTACAGCTGACAGCACGGCCGCAGTAGAATGGACAATACGGCACTTGAATGCGTCTCGTTCCCTGACGTCAAGCAACGTATGCGTGGCAGCTTCGCAGGGTAAGAAAGGCTTTCCAAAGTCACTTGGAGTCATCATCGCTTGTGGGAAACTAAGCACCAATGAAGGGTGGTCATATTTCGTGAAGAACGAGTCTTGTCGGGTCGTGAATTTATAACCTTGAACAGCTGGAGGATTTAGTGTGACTGTCAGCCTCACGACGTTCCGTGAACCGCTGAAGGGAATATCGATATTCCAGGGATGTGTAGGGGGTGGCCCAGCGACATAAAGCGAATCAAGGTAAGAAAGCAGGCTTGCTTGACGGGAACCTATGGTCTTTTCTCCCAAGAAGGCTTTCTGGTGAAGACTTACGGTAATCGCGTGTTTCTTCTCATTGTTGATGACGCACTGATTCATCAGGGCAACACCAAAGCCTCCATTCATGCCTTGTAAAATGATCAAGTTGCCGTTCGGACCAAACAGTCGGACATAAAAGGTTTTGGTTACGTCTGCATTTAAAACCTCTATTTTCAGAATGTTCAAAACGTATTCAAGTCGTGCAAGTGGAGCATAGAGCCAATCAGGTCTGGGAGGTCTGTGTGGAGGAGGTTCGCCTCTCAACATGGTCCCCGGCTTGTCAAACTGCAAACCTGCTGCCTCCCACATGGCTCGAGTTGACTTTTCACCATCGTACAAAGTAGTTGCCAGGCCGTAATTTGCTTCGTTGCCATCGCTTTGCAGCATTGTTCCAAACATCTCTGTTGTAACTTGCTTGTAAGTTAGTGGATGTTGTCGATGGACGTGCCAGATTAAAATCACGTCATAGCATGGAACAATTGAGATCTGCGGATTTCTGCTTCTTAGTTCCAGATGATGTTGGTAGCGCTCAACGGCTTTGGCAAGAAATCTTCTGTCTGCATAGTGAGGCAACGATACTTGGTAATAGAACCTGGATTGGTCGTAACATGCCTTTTCGAGGTCATGGCAAATTTTCAAGTTGTATGGCATAAAAAACGGCATTGTTTGGGCCAAGTTAACTTCAAATGGTTCCCCGGGATAACTGGATTCCCATAAATATCTTGCTCTATGAACTCCCTCCTGTCGTTGGTATCTGTTCATGGGCGTGTGGTCAATGACTTGAGACACAATACTCATGCAGTCTTGCTCATATTTCTGCGGTGTTAACATATGCACATACCAAACCCAGGCGATGTCCAGGGGAGCTGCCAGAAGCTTGCTTTCTGTTCCTTGCTTAGCTGCGAGTGGTAGCCAGAAGACTTCGTACCTTCTGATAGCATTTCTTAGGATTGGACCGGCGTACAAGCCAGGAAACTCATCAACCAGCTCGAGAAAATTAAGCACATTGGAAGCTGCTTGGATCAGGTGATTCACGTTAAGTCTGTGTGAATATTTTGTTTCTTGGGTCATTGCTCTTGGGCTTGTTTGATGATTGCTCTTTGGGAAATAACATGATAGATAGCCGATAAGCACAGTTTTGAAGTACACAAGCCGATTGAGTATTCACATGCATGTGAGAGCAAGAGAAATGATAAGGATATGACAATTGGCTGTTTACATAGCTATGTTTTTCAAAGGTGCGTTTCCTACTTTGTCAGTTTTAAACTCTAATCTGCGTGAGGTACTTGAGGTAAAGATACTTAAGAGTCCTGAGTGATTTTCGTTTTTATATTTGATATTTTTAGGAAAGGCTACCGACCTTCTTACTTTTTTCAATAAATATTGGGGAAATTTTTTTCTCATCAAAATTCTAACGGGACTTAACGTTCCTATGATATAACCATGATTGAATAGCTCTTTTATCCACGCATTCGGAGTGTTTAACGCTTTGGAACCTAGCAACCTTTCAAAATCTTTGTTTTTTTATGCATTTCAGTATATATCTGAGTTTTTCAAATCATCAGTTTGGATATATTGTATTTATATTTTACCATATATTTCATGTTCTTCTACATTCAAGGGGCACTTTCTGCTCCCATCGAGCCACATAAACAAAATTTGACCCATGAAAAGTCATTTCAAAAGGTAGGTTATAATTAAGGATTGATTATCTCACAATACGTAGTACATGCTCCTGATTAAGATTCTATAGCATCATCTCTGTAAGGGCTCATTTTTTGTCTGAGATTCTTGTTATCTGGGCTTACCTATTTTAGAATATTTAATGCCAAGGTTATATATTATTAAAAAAAACCGTTCCGCACGGCTTCTCTCTCAGAAGCTCTGCAGTGAATTCGCAGTCGAGTGTTGCGATGACACACATCGCCTGGACCAAGACTTGAAAACTCACTAAGCTATCATAATCAGTGGTTTTACTTTTGCGTAACCATGAATGGTTGCATTTGTTTTGCTTTGTTCTTTAGTTAGAAACGGAAATTTCTTGTTTTGGTTTTTGGCTCTAATACCGAAGCCAACCAAAGGTGCCCTTTGAAAGCCCTGTACATGCATTAGAGCAGGGAACATTAACTAGTGTAGTTTTAAAATGGTATACTTTTCGAAAAAATCGCTAAATTTAGAGGTAAAACTATATGTCAGAAATACACACCGAAAATTAAGCCTCTATTCCATTAGGTGGAACGGTCCAACATATAAATATGTCGAGTCACTGCCTTCAGGTTCCTCTAATCCACACTTAAGTAGTTTTACAGCACGACTTTCAAATTCGCTTATGACGCAAAGCTATCCGAAGTTAAACTTTGCCGCTTAATCTTAAAATTAATGACTAACAAGCACAGGCTGGTTTAGATAAACGCTTTTCACTGAAAATGGTTTGCGAAATTTTATCTTGTTTCATATACGTTAAGACAATTTGCATCGTCATCTTCAAATAAATTAGTCTGCGTTGCAGACGAAAATTTTTCCCTGTGAGTAAAGCGACACAGGCTACTTCAAATTTTGACATGTCATGTCACAATTCAGTTAAACACAAAGCCAATTTGCAATTTGCACTTAGAACGTTAATCGATGGTTTTAACTGATGCGAAAACTAAAGAATCCTTTAACGAAAGTTAAACAACTGAAGCAAGTAATATAAACACTTATATTCTAACCTGACTAAGGGGTTATTTGATTTGATTTGATTTGATTTTATCTTTGCATTCAACAGGGCTTTGAACGTAGTTTAAATGTTCATATATGTAACATAAATTAATTACTTAAAATGAAACATTCCTTTTATAAAATCTTCGAAACTTAACGGCGACGATGGTAATTTTTTAAGTGACTTCTGTTAATATTTGTATCCAGCCTAATATATATATTGCATCTAAATAGTTCTCCAATGGTAAATGTGAATTCTGATCAAAAAGTGACAATCTTGAAAGAAAAACAGACATCCTCCAAAAGACATTCGTTAAGTTTGACATCATCGAAGAATGAAAGATCACAGCAAAATTGCCTCAGGATTAGTTCTCGTTGTTCTTACACTGCAAAGCGCTTATAGACATGAGCATAAAAAGAACTAAAACGTTTTTTCTTGTGCTTTTATTTCTGACCGCGTAGTCTAAACGACATGCTTGCAATATATGTCACTCTTATGTGCTTGTATCGAGCCTTGTGATCAACGTTTGAGAGAAGTCGTAACGCTCGGCAGCTCGTTTCTTCACAGCACTTCTGTTTCTCGCAAACTTCACACGCATTTCCATGCCTCATTAGAAACACGGAACTATTTATTATTTCTTAACTAGTGCTGATTTATGACAGCTTTTAAATAAGCTTCAAAGTTGACTCACCTTGAAAGTGTCTAGCTTTGCCGCTACGGCTTCTCGCGGTAAGATTCCATTGAAGGTAACTTAATGTGTCAACCCTTTATTTAATCCTTTTTAATAGTCAGTAAATTTACTCTCTACGAGTGAAGTGTGTTTGCATCGATTGACGTCATATTAAGTTCTCTCTGTTTATTGTTTTTGGCGTGCGTAGCAACTGACCTCCAAAACAACTGTAGCGTAGATNTTAACGAAAGTTAAACAACTGAAGCAAGTAATATAAACACTTATATTCTAACCTGACTAAGGGGTTATTTGATTTGATTTGATTTGATTTTATCTTTGCATTCAACAGGGCTTTGAACGTAGTTTAAATGTTCATATATGTAACATAAATTAATTACTTAAAATGAAACATTCCTTTTATAAACTCTTCGAAACTTAACGGCGACGATGGTAATTTTTTGAGTGACTTCTGTTAATATTTGTATCCAGCCTGATATATGTATTGCATCTAAATAGTCATCCAATGGTAAATTTGAATTCTGATTAAAAAGTGACAATCTTGAAAGAAAAACAGGCTTCCTCCAAAAGGCATTCGTTAAGCTTGACATCATCGAAAAATAAAAGATCACAGCAAAATTGCCTCAGGATTAGTTCTCGTTGTTCTTACACTGCAATGTGCTTATAGACATGAGCATAAAAAGAAACAAAACGTTTTTTCTTGCGCTTTTATTTCTGACCGCGTAGTCTAAACGACATGCTTGCAATATATATGTGCTTGTATCGAGCCTCGTGATCAACGTTTGCGAGAAGTCGTAACACTCGGCAGCTCGTTTCTTCACAGTACTTCTGTTTCTCGCAAACTTCACACGTATTTCCATGCCTCATTAGAAACACGGAACCATTTATTATTTCTTAACTAGTGCTGATTTATGACAGCTTTTAAATAAGTTTCAAAGTTGACTCACCTTGAAAGTGTCTAGCTTTGCCGCTATGGCTTCTCGCAGTAAGATTCCATTGAAGGCAACTTAATATGTCAAGCCTTTATATTCCTTTCTAATAGTAAGTAAATTTACTCTCTACGAGTGAAGTGTGTTTGCATCGATTGACGTCATATTAAATTCTCTCTGTTTATTGTTTTTGGCGTGCGTAGCAACTGACCTCCAAAACAACTGTAGCGTAGATCTTTTGGCCGATTGTAAGTTCCGTGATTTTACAATTTTTACTTCTCAACCATTAAGAAAGTTTACAAGTTTATTTCGCTTACCACTAAGGAACAATCATGCACTGGATGAGATCGACTTCGTTGAAAACAGTAGAATGGTGATAAAACTTACCCAGGTCAATAATTTTGTGGTTTTGGTTTAGTTTCGTTGCTTTGCGTGAAAAGATCCGATGCCCTTGATCGATTTAAGATATTATTTGTAGTTCCCGATTTTGACATCGTCACACAATAGAAATTAGATGTACGTTAGTTTCTTATCGAGGGCTTCTTTGTTCTCCAACTTGAAACTTTCCGTACTTTTACTTTATGCATCTATTTCAAGTGTCTCCCGACACTTTGATTGTCACCATTGTATAATTTACGTAATAGGGAAGTTAAATTTTCTGTCAACTAAGAAAAACTAATATTTACCCATTTCGCGTTTTGTCAATACTGGGCATAGCTTT